GTTTAAAGAAATTTCTGATTTGTGGCTGACTTCTGGAAGACAGGAACCAGTTATTCTAACCCCACCGACTTTGACCACATGACCTTGAGCAAGTCACTTGATTCCTCTGATCTTAAACTTAGCAAAAAAAAAAAAAAGCAAAGCTCTTTCAAAAACTGGAACTGCATTTTGGTCAAACTTTTATTGAGATGTTTTTATATATAGAAAGCTGATAATTCATTTACATTTTTTATAAATACTGAAACTAAGATTTTAGTTTTATATAAAGATACGGTTTTATATAATCAGAAATAACTTTCTCTAATAACCACAGGAGATTTTCAGATTCCCTTCAGTCAGGTGAAGAATGAAAATAGCCTTTTTTTGTTTGTTTGCTTAGCTTTTTTTTTTTTTTTTGGTTCCTCTGAGTGTTTCAGTGTACTTATTTTCTGAGTTTTTCTGGAATGAAATACATATGGGGAAATGTGGGCTATTTCATTTTAGAAAATTCAGAAGCCTCATTCCTCTTAAAGACAACTTTCTCTTCCCCCCCTCAGATACTCACACACACTCACACGTTTTGTCTGGCTATAGCTTGTCAGTCTTAGGAGAAACCCAAATTTGGAGAACGTGCTGAGGTTACACAGCTGAACAGCACCTGTTTTGACCAGCTTCGGTGATGTTTTGTTTCTTCTCTGCAGTTTTTGCTGTATTGGAAGCAAGGTCTTGGTTTGGAATTGAAATTTCTTTAATAGTGAAAATACACTAGTCTTGGGCAATCTTTGGAAGCAGCTGTTCAAATATTATCAGTTACTCTTCCAGGACTTTGATACTCTAGCAGATGATTCTGCTCCAATCCTGACATTTTCTTTTTCTCCCGAACTTGACAGACCAGTGGGAGCAGCATATACGGCATAAACTCATCACCAGGAAGGAGCGTCTCAGTGTTGTTGGTGTGACTCTTAAGATCTCTTTGAGAGAGTAGAAGTTCCAAAGTGGTAGAAGGCGAAATGCTACTGACTTGTTTGCTTCCTTAAAATTTGCAGTTATTTAGAGTATGGAAGATATGTTGGGCACATCCAACCATATGAAGCAAGCAAAAAGCAAGGGCAGCAGTACCGCTGAGACCTGTCAAAGAACTAGAGAAAAGTGGAGGGTAGCATGGGTCAAGATAAAGGATAATCGGAAGCAAACAGATTGGGCATTGTCTTAAAAGAAGTTGATGGCAGGATCATGAGAAGGGGCAAACCTGCGTGTACTGTTGGTGAAAGGGCAGTTATTCTTTAGTTTCTAGTATTAGCCAAATAATAGTAAGCCTGCCTTTGCACACTAAATGAGTATTTTTTAGAAAGTTGTGAGAAAATTAATCAAAGGAATTTGATATGCGTTGGTCAATAGTCGACTATTTGAGTATCTACCTATTAGGTTACCAGCTATGGGAGATATGTAAATCCTAAATTTTTGACTGCTTCCTTTGTTTTATAGATAATCACACAAACCCAGGTTGAGTCATTAACTTGCCTAAAGGTGGGGATTATAAGATATCCCTAAGGCACATGCTATCTAATTGAAAAGACAAGGTTAATTACAAGGAACAATTAGAGAAAAATAGTAGACAGTGTATAATCAGTTGCTAAATCGTGTAATACTGGCCCTTAATGAGTTCAGACATGGGAGAGAAGAATTCATTCAACAAATAGTTTTTTTGACACCTCCTCTTGTTAGGCGCTCTTGGGTGTTCAGCATTTTAGAAGAGAACATGGCAGAACATTTCTGCCACCATGGTGCTTTTATTGTAGTGGGAGGTTTCTGCCCTTATGCTTTTGTTCTACTGAGGAGACAGCCAATATCCAAGATAATTTCAGATAGTGGTAGGAGTGACTGAGATTCTGTTTTAGATTGGGTGGTCAGGGAAAGCCTTGTTAAAGAGGTGATATTTGGCTTGAAGGGTTAGAGCCAATCACTCAGTCATGGGGACTGGGGTTGGGGGAACTTACAGCATGTGTAAAGGCCCTGAGACAGGGATGAACTTGGGTGAATGTTGACTGGATTCTAGTGAGTGAGAGAGGAGAGTGGTAGATGAGTTCAGAAAGATAGGGGTCAGACCAAGTAGGACCCTGTAGGCCATGGGAGGAACTGTAGAATAGGAGGTAACATTAGCTTCAAAATCAGCCAGACCTCGGTGCAAATCAACTCTGTCAAATAGAAGATACTACCTTTCTCATAAGGTTGTGAGAATTAAATAGAATATGCATGTAAGAGGTCTTAGCTAAGAGCTTGACACAATATGTTGTTGTTATTAGGTGCTGTCGAGTCATTTGTGACTGATAGCGACCCCGTGCACAACAGAATGAAACACTGCCCGGTCCTGCACCATCTTCACCGTCAATGCTATGTTTGAGCCCATTGTTGCAGCCACTGTGTCAGTCCATCTTGTTGAGGGTTTTCCTGTTTTTTTTTTTGTTGACCTTCTGCTTTACCAAGCATGATGTCCTTCTCCAGGGACTGCTAACTCTTGATAACATGTCCAAAGTATGTGAGATGAAGTCTCGCCATCCTTGCTTCTAATGAGCATTCTGGCTGTACTTCTTCCAAGACATATTTGTTCTTTTCTCTGGCAGTCCCTGGTATATATTCAGTATTCGTTGCCAACATCGTAATTCAAATGCATTAATTCTTTGGTTTCCCTTATTCATTGTCCAGCTTTTGCATGCTTATGAGACAATTGAAAATACCATGGCTTGGGTTAGGTGCACCTTAGTCCTTAAAATGACATCTTTGCTTTTGAATACTTTAAAGAGGTCTTCTGCAGCAGATTTGCCCAGTGCAATACATTGTTTGATTTCTTGACTGCTGCTTCCATGGGCATTGATTGTGGATCCAAGTAAAATGAAATCCTTGACAACTTCAGTCTTTTCTCCATTTATCATGATGTTGCTTACTACATATATTTATAATTTTTATTTATAACTATAGGAGATGTCCTCCTGGTCTAATGCTAAGTACTGAACTGAGATTTAGGAGGACTAGGCTCCAATCTGACTTTACCAGTAACTAGATGTAAAACTTTTACTTCAATTTTTCCAGCTGTAAACTGAGGAGACTGGACTATAGTACAGATTCTAGGGTCCTTTTCAGATCTGAAGTTACATGATTCTAAGCACATATGATTGAGCCTTGAAACAGAAGAAATAGTGACTTTTTTTCCCCAGTAAAGACCCACCGCTCCATTTTTTAAAATTGAGTCTTCCATTCACTTCAACTCCTACCTTTAATGAAGTACCGAGCCATAGACTCTGAGCTGCTGCTGGAATGGTGGAATACTTGTGTATAATCATCAGACTTCACAGTTTCACTCTTTGGGGTGAGTGGAAAAGTTCACACAGTTTTTCCGCTGCCATTGAGTCAATTCCGATTCATAGCAACTCTGTAGGACTGAGTAGGACTGCCCCATAGAGTTTCCAGGGCTATAATCTGTACGGGAACAGACTGTCCCATCTTTCTCTGGTAGAGCAGCTAGTGAGTTAGCAGCTGACCACTTAACCACTGTGCCACCAGGTCTCCTTCACACGATGTAATGCTATTGTTTTAGAGCATTTACCTGGGACTTCAAATCTTAGAATTTCTACACTGAAGTCTGCCTTTGAAATCATTGTAGAAAAAAGAAATTTGTGTTGTCTTTGTCAATGGAAAAAACAAAGATTTTTGTGGAAAGAGGTTTGAGACGATGAGAGCTTTTTTTTTTTCTTTTTCGGTAGGGGGATCTTTTGTCCCCTGGGTAATCCTTTTTAATTTTAATCTGCTAAATCAGTCCTTTTTCCAGCTTCACACTTTTGCTTTGAAGCATGAAATGCTCCTGGACTCATTAGCTCCTGCTCTATCCTCAATTCTCTAGGTAGTTGGATGTTAAAAGAAAATGAATTTTACATTTTGACCCAGTAATTCTTTTTATATTGTGGCTGAAGAACATTCATACCTCCTGCTGATCCGTGAATCCAGTGTTTTCCCAAGCATGGGAACCACGTTGAATAATTCAGAGTGCTGTCTCTTCTCAAATTCCCATCTTTTTGTTAGTTCCAGTAAGCAATTGTTAGCCCCTGGGTATTGTTCCTCCTTCTTTCCAGGTTACAGAGATACCCAGGTAATTTGCAGCGACTAGACAGGAGCCTGTTCATTGTTTCTGAGGTACCTTCGCTCCTGTCATCAATTATGAAGAACAGTTCTCTCAGGTGATTAGAGTGGCCTAATTATGATGATGACAAATGTTGTGGAGTATCAGGTACAGGAAAGTGTAGATTGTAAGAAAGTGCAATGTTGTATTTTAAAACTTAAATTAATCTGGAGTATACTAGTGACCACAACTGTTTATTAGTTTTTTTTAAAATTGTACTTTAGATGAAGGTTTACAGAACAAATAGTTTCTCATTAAACAATTAGTTCACATACTGTTTTATGACATCGGTTAACAACCCCACGACATGTCAACTCTCTCCCTTCTCTACCTTGGGTTCCCTATTACCAGCTTTCTGTCCCCTCCTGCCTTCTAGTCCTTGTCCCTGGGCTGTTGTTGCCCATTAGTCTCGTTTTGCTTTATAGGCCTGTCTTATCTTTGGCTGAAGGGTGAACCTCGGGAGTGACTTCACCACTGAGCTAAAAGGATGTCCAGGGCCATACTCTCGGGGTTTCTCCAGTCTCTGTCAGGCCAGTAAGGCTGGTCTTTTTTTGTGAGTTAGAATTTTGTTCTGTAGTTTTCACCAGCTCTGTCCGGTACCCTGTGTTGTGATCCCTGTCAGAGCAGTCAGTGGTGGTAGCCAGGCACCATCTAGTTGTACTGGGCTCAGTCTGGTGGAACCTGTGGTAGTTGTGCTCCGTTAGTCCTTTGGACTAATCTTTCCCTTCATTCTCCCTTGCTCCTGAAGGGGTGAGACCAGTGGAGTATCTTAGATGGCTCCTCACAGGCTTTTAAGACCCAGACACTACTCACCAAGGCAGAATGTAGAACATTGTCTTTATATGTGTTATGCCAATTGAGCTAGATGTTCCCCGAGACCATGGTTCCCCATCCCTCAGCCCAGCAATTTGGTCCCTCAGGGAGTTTGGATGGGCCTGTGGAGGTTTATCATTTTTATTAAAGCTGTAAAACACTTAAATATACGTAAAGGGAGAACTTTTTTTTTTTTCCACTCTCCAGATGGTTCTAAAAGTATGATTAATAGATATTTAAACCTTTTGCTTAATTCTTACGTATTGAACAACCATAAACTTGGAAAGATGGATAAATGAAGATATTTTTCCTGATGGAACTGCTGATTACCTTATTTTGAAGAATTCCACTTTTAGGCATCAAGCCTAAATTGTCATAATTATGATGCACTGGTAGTTCTCGACTTACGACAGTGTTCCATTCCAACAGCTCCATCGTAAGTTGATTCTGACATAAACAGAATACCTCATTTTTTTTAGTTTTCATTATTATTGCTTTTATTATCAATATCTTTATAAATCTGGCAGTGTTTTGAAAAGTAAATAGTAAAATCAAACATCTGAGAGTGATAACATCAGCAAATTATGTGCTGGAACATATTACTGATGATAAGATGTACCAAAAAAAAAAAAGACGGTCGTAAGCGCGGCTTGTAACTCAAATATGCCGTAAGTTGGGGACTGTGTGTATATATTTTCTGATCGTTAGGTCAGTGGCTCGTGAAGGTCAGAAAACAGCGTTTTCCTAAATGCCATTGTGGTCATGTTTGTGTTGTTGAAAAGGGAAGAATCCTTTATTCTAGTGCAGAAAGATGACAAAATTGCCAACTTAAGGAAGTAAAATCACACGACAAAATCGCCAGTTTAAGGAAGTCAGACCAGATATGGCAAAGATGATAGACTGACTTTAGGATTCATGATGAACTACCTGTGTATTTTATAAAAGCATTTAATCTTTTAACCTTTCAGAAAAGCTTATTTTATCCATAGCCTCATAATGTTTACGTAATGATAGGAGAGTTTTCAGGTTTGTAATTTTTGTGTGTGCCTGAAATAGTGCCTAGCATATTATATGCAGGTAAATATTTAATGAAATGAATGAGTAAAACTGTTGTCTGAATGAGCCAGCCTCTTCAAGTTTGGATTGCATTTACTCTTGGGGAGGGGGGAGAATGCTTCTTGTATTAATCTTGATTTTGAAGTGACTGAATTGCTTTTGCCTCAGACTACTTAATACTTTTTAAAATTTGCTTCTTTGTTAGTATTTTCATTTAACTCTTGCTCCCTCCAGTGTGTCCACTCATTTTTTTGCTCCTGCGCCCTGGTGGCACAGTGGTTAAGTACTTGGCTGCTAACTGAAAGGTCAGTGTGTTCATTCAAACCCACCATCTAGTCGCTCCTAGGGAGACAGATGTGGGGGTCCTCTTCTATAAAGATTTACAGCCTTGGAAGCCCTATAGGGGGCAGTTGTACTCTGTCCTACAGGGTCGCTGTGAGTTGGAATTGACTCCTGACCATAGTGGGTTTGGTTTGGTTTTTCTGGGAGGTCTTTATAAGCCACTGATAGGCATTTCTATACAAACTACTGCTGATCTGACTTTTGAGAAAGCAAAAGTGAAGGTTTTTTGGTTTCTCTTGCTCTAACTTGTTTGAGTATATTTGATTTTTTTTTTTTATTTCTGATTCTTTATCATTAAAATAGTAACTGTTTGCCACATTTGAGATGCATTGCGAGTCATTTAAGGGTTTCAGGTGTTGAAGAGTCCTATGACCTCTTTGGATGAAACAGGGACTATGTATATTTTGCTTGATGTTTTTTGTTTGTTGATTATTTTGTTCAATAAGACTGAAACATAACTTAGGTTTTAATGTTTTCTGCTTTGAACCCGTAGGTCTTTGAAAGTACATGTAAGACATGTTGGGACTCCAGATTTTTGGTATGTAGGAAAACATAGTTTACTGGTAAACATGATATAGAAGAGAAATTTGGTAAATATTATAAATTAGTGAACATAGTGAACGAAGCACTGGGCTCTTTTTTTTTTTTTCCATGCAGAAATGGACTTAATGATTTTGACTGTAAGAAAAAGTAAAGTTTACTTGGCATTTTGGTGGCACCAAACCTCCACTAACCAGCACCTTTTATATTTTGCTGTTTAATAAGTGGTGGTTATGATGAAGACCGACTATGAGGCAAGACTTGAGTTTGATGTTGTGTGTTTTTTTTTTTTGTCTTCTTATTCTTTGAGAACTGCCTCTCCAGTCGACAGCACAGGCACGGAGTAGGCAGCTGGTGATGACGAACGGGCTGCCGAGATGGTCCCCAGAAGACTAGGAGGGGTGTGATGTGAGCACAGGATTTTCTTTTTGTTGTTTGTTCATAATATTAGAAAAGGAAGAGAGTGCTAAAGAATGAGAAAATAGAAACCTATGTAAAACCTACTGGACTTCCATAACTCTGACATGGTCAGATTGGGCAATGTGAAAATTTTTTTTCCTGGTATCAGCTGAACTGCAAAAATATTTATCTAAATGTGAATGATAATGGGTGATTAAAGACAGCTGGATACTTAGAAATTTTTTATTTCAGGTTGATGATAATAAAAAAAATAACAAACTCCACTTTGCATCTGCCTGATTAGGCTAATTTCTTGCGGCTAAATTCATTAATTCAGTCACCACATTAGGCTCCACAGTGCGCTAGACTTGGGGGTACAGCGATGAACAGAGCAGACACCATGTCTCTGTTATTTTTTAAGCCATCAGCTAGGGAGCACAGCTTCACTTCAGTAAAATTTCAGAGTTTTGAGTGATTTTGTACTCAGGGAAAAATGTGTTTAATTGAAGGCCAGTTCAACTGACTTTCACTGGTGTTAACGTTCTTTCATTGCGAGGAATAATAGTGAATGTATTTTAGTTGTAGAAACTTAAGACAGCAAAAAGAATTTTCATGTAAAGGCCTTCTGTTTAATCCTCGTCCCATCGGGCCTGTTGGTTGTGCATGTTCTTGGTGACGTGCAAATACACAGGAAATACTTCTGCTTTTTGTCTCCTGAAAAGAGTCATGGTGAGAGTGTTGAGCAGTGACCTGATTTTTCTTAACACTGATGCTTTCAGGACCAGCGGCAGAGGAATCGATTTACATGCTGAGGCCTCTTCCCTTGTAGACTCTTTCTTTACCCTTTGGCCAACTCTTTTACTGCTCCCTCTCAGATCTCCAGTTCAATGTTCAATGCATGGATCTCCGCTCTCTTGTTCATTGTTATAACCCTACTGTCTGGAATACTGTTTGGCACACCAAAAACCAAAAAAAAAAACCAAAACCCATTGCTGTCGAGTTGATTCCTACTCATGGTGACCCCGTGGTTATAGAGTAGGACTGCTCCATAGGGTTTTCTTGGCTGTAATCTTTATGGGAACAGATTGCCAGGCCTTTCTTCCATAGTACTGCTGGGTGAGTTTGAACCATCAACCTTTAGTTAGTAAAAACAACAACAACAACAAGAAAAACTCATTGCTGTTGAGTCGATTCCCACTCATAGCAAGCCTGTAGGACAGATTAGAACTGACCCATAGGTTTTCCAAGGCTGTAACCTTTATGGAAGCAGACTGCCACATTTTTCTCCCACAGAGTGGCTGGTGGGTTAGCTGCTGAGCTGTTAACCACTGAGCCACCAGGGATCCTTTTTAGGTTAGTAGTCGGGCGCAAACCATTTGCATCACCCAGGGACCTCATTTGGTATACAGTATGTGCTCAGTAAGGATTAATTTGTTAAGTAAGTGAAGGGAAGTAGAGGTGGACAGATCTGAAGTCTGAAGTGTACAACCAGCCAGTTCCCTACCTATTTGTGTATGTTAAAGGCCACTATCATACTGTCAGGGCTTCAAGGTGAGGAACTAAAAGGATCAAATAAAAAAAAAATTATGGATTTATGCAACTGTTAATTATAATAGAAAGTGTGATTCATTGAACAGTTTCAGCGTAATCAGGCTCAGTGCAGTCAGATGATTGATGGTTATGTGGGTGGCTAGTTTGTGGGCAGATGACAAGTGGGAGTTTTACGTTTTGCCCATTTAGGATTCAAGATGGATTTTAACCCTGTTAAGTCAGAATAAACTGCTTTCTATCTTAGACATATATAATAATGCTTTGAAACTACAGATAACAAATGAATGTACTGATGGTTTGTTTTGTACCTAAACTTGGAATCTAGATGAAAAATTAACAAACATAAGAAAACAATCAGTCTTGGTTTAGAATGGGGCAGATACAGTAATTCTTATATAATGTTAGAAACATTGTTTCTCATTTTTAATTAGAAAAATATTTAGATTAATGGCTCTAGTGTTTTTGTTTTTTTTTAACAAATTTATGATAAAGCTATCCCTTTATGTCTTGCATATGTTTGCTGACCTTTCCTTGAGAGGTAGTTTTTGCCTAGGAAATGAGAAATTGTTTGATCTTTTATTTCTTCCAAAGAGATGAGGAAGAAACACTTTCTGAAATTGGAAGACAACACGGATGTAAGTCTGTGATTCATAAACAGGTAGTCTCTTGTGCGCAGTATTATTGGATGGTAGGTGGAGGGAGTCTTGCCTCTGTTACTAAGATTATTTTCTCAATAACACTGTGAGCTGACTAGTGCTACACCCATCATTTACATTGTCTGGAAGGGGCAACGGGAATCCATTGTTCAGAGAGAGAGTTGTGTGTGCGTGTGAGAGTGGGAGGAAGTAGAATGTTTTGGTTTTGGTATTGGCTTAATTTTCTGTCTCATTGTTGACTTAGCATGCGTGACCTTTTCATTTTGGTTTTGTTAAGTATTCAGAATCTTAAGGTTTGTGTGAATTAGGAGATTTGGATTTATTTGGGTTACATTTGGTACTAGGGGAAATTAACTCTAGGTAGGAGCTAATTTGAGGGTCAGCTTTAAGGTAATTTTTTCCTTAAAATTTTTTAAGTATAGAAATTTTCAAACGTACAAAAAAAGAGTGAATATGAATAGTATAATGGACTCCATGAACAAAGGTAATTTTTTGATGTGACCAGGGATCCATCTTGAAAAATATGAAGGTAAAAGAGCCAAAAGATTCCCTCACCCCCCAACAGAACAACAAAACATAAGCATAAAAAAAAAGCAAACCCGTTGCTGTGGAGTCAATTCCAACTCATAGTGACCCTGTAGGACAGAGTAGAACTACCCCGTAGAGTTTCCAAGGAGTGCCTGGTGAATTTGAACTGCCGACCTTTTGGTTAGCAGCTGTAGCACTTAACCACTACACCACCAGGGTTTCTAAACATAACCATAGGCTTAGCTAATTTGTAACCTGGCTTTTTAAATGATTGGATTGATTGGATTTCACTTTTGTTCCAATGTCTTGCCTATCCAGTTACGTAAATGAGCCTGTTTCTTTATCTGTAAAAAGGGAAGACAAATGGTATTTAAACTCAGAGGGTTATTGCGAAGGTTAAAGGAGAGAATAGTTGCCAATTGTTTGCTGGGCTTGGTACCCAGTTAGGTACTCAACAAATAAATGTCCCCCTTCCTCTCCATGGTCTCCATGAGTTGGAATAGACTTGGCACCAGTGGGTTTGGTTTGTTTCTCCTTTCACAAGGAGCCCTGGTGGCGCTGTAGTTAAGGGCTTGGCTGCTGACCAGAAGATGGGCAGTTCAAACCTGCAAGCTGCTCCGCAGCAGAAAGATGTGGCAGTCTGCTTCCATAAAGATTACAGCGTTGGAAACCCTGTGGGGCAATTCTATTCTGACTTATAGGGTCGGTTGCTATGAATTGCAGTCGACTCACCAGCAGTGGACTTTTTGGTTTCCCCTTTCAGAATTCCTTAATCACGAAGAGATAAGGGAGAAAAGAAATTTCCTGTTAATATTAGCAACTCTGATGAAGTGGTACGTAATAGAGGAGGGGTGAAGCAGTTGATTACAGTGAAGTTTCCAGAGGATTTAATTTTTTCTATTACTCTGTCCTTCATTTGAACCTTCAAAATTTAGACCGGGAGGAACAAGGGTAAGCATGTTTGCAAAGGGTAAACCATCCCATGCTGTGGTGTTACCTCGAAGGTGCCTGCTGAGCTGGAGGCACAGGTGCTGTGGCTGACGATGCTGAAGTCCCTGAGGAGCTGGGGAGCTGGCGATTGCTGTTAGGGTGTGTGCAGCACTGTGCTCTTTTGGCTACCTGGGCCTTTTTTTTTTCAAGAATCTGTTGCTAAATTCTGTAGCTATTTACATCACCTTTGACCAAAGCCAAATGTGAAGCTTGCAAGGAAAGGATGGTGAAAAATACCCCTTTTAGGACTTGTTTTGGCACAAATTTTGTGGTTTCTGTTTGGTAACAACCCCCAGTAGCCACAAATTAAACAACAACACTGATCTAATTGTATTATTAGTCCTATTAATTTATTAGTTATGTAATTAAAATAGTAAAACAGTCTGCTACAAATTGGAGCTGTAGCTTCAGGTTGTATTGTATGTGTGAAAAACCGACTTTTCACATTGTAAATTTTGAACAAACTTAGCAGTAGGTTATTTATGTAAGCTTTGTGTAATCAGAAACATTCCAGAATGAATCATGCTTAATTAGGATCTCACAAATATTACCACCCTTGTTAGGCTGAGCAATATTTTTAAAGTAGTAAATCAGTTTTAAGCATGATAAAAGGAAATTACAATAATTTATTCATGATCATCTTTATCACACGTATTTTTATTTCTTTGTTTCCTTCTCATCTTTATACACACACACACACACACACACACACACACACAGATATCTGAAGTTTTTGCACATTAGGAATTGCTAGGCTGAGAGCATTGATTTTAGAACTGTGGCAGTGATTTAATAAATGCTGTGTTTGTGCTAGGATAATCTTTTACCATCTCTTTGCTATAAAGTCTTCTCCCGAGTAGTTTCTGTGTTTCCCCCACTAGAACCAATCATAGTATTTTAATATAGGATTATTTCTGGCAAAAATTCTTGAAAGGAAAGCTAAAAAGAAAACATACTTGCTGTCTTTACCGATCTGTAGAAAGCTTGATGGAAAATTCTAGCCTCTTTGGCGCCAAGTCTGTTTAATCTTGTTCCTGAGTACTATTCATAAAATTCAATAGAAGAATTTCAAATTTCATGAAATGTTTAACAGTTCGGCTAATTTAATGTGAGAGTGTAATATGTATTTTTAGGATTCTTTTTTTTTTCTAATTTATTATGCTTTAGGTGAAAGTTTACAGTGCAAATTAGTTTCTCATTCAAAAATTTATATACAGATTGTTTTGTGACATTGGTTGCAAACCCCACATTGTGTCAGCATTCTCTCCTTTTCCCTTTCCACCC